TTGCCGGAAAATCAGCCGTTGAATAACTATTTTTGGGAAATTCCTTTCCTAACATCTGACCAATTAATAGTTTGTTCAATTTGCCCTGTGACAAAGGTCGGAGCTTTTCCTTTTTAGAACGCATCTTTCAGTTAGTTTGCTTTGATAATTCTCATGAATACCATAGACAGTCAAAAGCCATACCTTCAGGCTTTGCAATCTTTTCTAGTCAAACAACCACCTTTGTTTCGCAATAAGTTTTCATTTTTGGCGGAGAGGTTTGTTTAATTGCTTCACGTAAATCGTTAGTCCAATAGAAGATAAATGCTCAACTGGCCCATGAAGTTTTTTGATAGACTGCGCATACGCAGATGCGGATGAAATTCTAACAGATATTGCTGCGTGATGACAATCCACAGGAAGAACGTCAAGTTTCGGCCCACAAATTATAATTCGTTGGTCTATTATTAGGATCTCAGAATCGTTGGTCCTGATGTTTTGGGCGGCATGCTTAGTACCACGGGGTTAACCTCCAAAAGGGAAGCAGAAATCGCGCGAACGTGCCCTACGATTTGGACCAGAGTGTCGGGACATTTTATGGTGTGAGTAAGTTACAGAATCTGTAGCTAACTTGACGTCACAATATATTTACCTTTTGCTATTTCAGTGACGAAACTAAACATGGTTGTTCACAATAACTGAAGCCTAATCGTTTTAGGGAGATATATAGTAGGTGCCATTCTCGGTACTGGTCCATTCACAGGGCCTCATTAGTTAATCTTTGGCTCAGCTGATTATCTGGCCAACTCTGTTACACAATTTCTATGCATAGTTTACATGTGAACAATATGAAAACACAGATTGGCGAACAAACTCTTTGTCAGTGAAACCAACTCGTCACAATATATTACGACAAGGTAAATAGTTGGACCGATTCGACAAATAGGGAGTGAAGGAAATTTCAGGTATCATAAAAAGGTAATCCAGGCTTCGATCAACACCGGACAAAAACAGTCCCCTTTAATTCTAAAGAAATTTGTGTTCCAGACAAAAAAACTTTATTCAAATTTGCTATAGGTAGGTGATGTGCTTTTCTAGTCTCGTAGTGATAACAACCAATGTGCTGTAATTAGGAATGTTTGAAATCGCGGAGTTGATCCAGAAGTACATGCCTGTCCTTCACAATTGTCTTTTTTTAATACCTAAAGGGATACTGATATAATTTATTCATTGCCGGAGAACATAACAATGCATCCATCTTGTAGTTTCTGAGGGAAATCTTGGAACCCGGTTAGGATTTCTATATTCTGAATAATATATTTTTGTGCAGCTTCAGAAATACCAGAGATTCGACAAAACCATGGTATTCAGTTCCCGGGCAATGAGTTCTACCTAGCGTCATCAAACAGCTATGTGGCGATCTCCCAAAGGACTGCACTGAGTCACTGTTGACAACCTTTTTTCCGTAGGTAGAGTCAGAAGCTTATAATTCTTTCTGACATAATTTGTACTTATGTTGCAGACTTGAGTGTTCTTCTTATAGTCTACGACTGCACAATCCTTATCGGATCTTTCTAGACTCCTCACAGTCGTATCGGTTAGTGTATCGAAAAGTTTGCCTTCACCGGCCAGCATCTGAGAGGTAAGTCAGTTTGCTTTGTCAAGCAATGCATTCTATCAAATGGGGGTCATAACTACTGAGGGAACTCCTAATCACACCATTCAAGTCATTCAAAAAGAGAAGTGAACAGTTTGAAAAAGTATCATTCAATAAAGCACCTAGACCTAGTTGAAAGGATTCTATTGTACACGTCATAGCGTTGGTAAAATCTTTGAACCCCCCAACCCCCCCCCCCTTAACGGCTGATTACTGTAGGTATACAACTATATAGTATTTCCTCAATGCTGTCGTGTATACAAATAGTACTTTCAAAAAAGTGAACTCTGCTGTGCTCTTCGAGTAGACCTATATATTTATCACGTGAACGTAAATGTATATAAAAAAATCACTCAAAACGCGCCACCAGTTTCAAGATTGTTCCCACTCACCAACTATGCGCACTATCGGGGAGGGGGATGTTAAGGAAAGTGTTCGTCCATCAAGATGGGAAATGAACAGGGACGTAATAATATACGTATATGTAAAACCATTACGCGTTTCACTTCAATTTGTGATTTGTATATATTCCTATGCTTTTGCACGCGGTCCTATGTGGAATGGAATAATTTACAGTAGCTAGACGATTCGGTGAATCCAGACCACAACTGTCAGAGCCTGAAGGTAAACCTGAGTCTTTCAGAAAAATGATAAGCTTTATTCCTTGAATAAAAGAGCTTGTGCTTATCAAGTTTGGTTTTTTCAGTCCGAATGAAGCATGATCCGAACAGCTGCTATTTCACTCTCTGCGATTGAGTACTGCTCTCTGTGCGGCCAATCCAAAATCGACGCCGTATATCCAAGAAAGTGTTGGTTATATTATTCTAGTTGAAATATTCGAATGCAGCGCATTCGAGGACAAAATAAACTGCAGCCGTTTTGTTCAAGTCTTCAAGTCGTCGATTATGAATAAACACAGTTGGAAATTCATTTGTTTTTGAAACCGGCTGAACCTTTCCCCAAAAGCTCACTAGGTTTATTTCTTTACTTAAATGTCGTATACAGAATGATCCAATAATCAAAAGGATGGACGTGATGCGACAAATTATTACCATATCAGGGAATCCCATGCTTCTCTACAATACACCCAAGATGTTAGCGAATCGTGATCATTTCGGATAATTCTTATAGATATGGAACCAAAGTATCTGAACTCAGAATTGCAACTACAAGACAGATAATGACAGAATTATATCATTTAAACAGACAATTCATTGACTTCACATTTTTTCAATCCCGACTGATGTTGTTTATTGTATGCATACTCAATTTATCGAATGAATCTAAAGTTGAAAAAAACAGCAAATTTTGGAACTACATTTGCGCCGGGTAAACTTGTGAGTTCAGCTTTATCACTATAAGGCGAAGCAAACAAGCACACGTAGTCCATTTATGAGTACTGTCAATCAGATGTTTTCATTGGTACGGAAATCGAGTCGATCGACTATAGGAGGATGTGACACTCTTTTGACTCCGATCAGTATTGCTGCGGAAGAGAAAGCTTAGATTTCCGGTGACATGTCTCTATCTCACATTCAAAAGTGGCTCAGTTCTTCTTCTACATTACTTGATACTAATGTATTATAAATAGTTGACATACTCCATGTTCCAAAGCTCATTTTTCTATGTGGACTTTGGGCATGTGAAAGAAGGTAGGCAGGGATGTTGATGAATTGAGAACCGGGACCGGAGAACATGAGGTGTGATATTGAAACGTGATCTTGCATTTTATGTAGACCGCAGGCCACATGCGCTTTGAACTCATTCAATATTTGCCCCAAAACATTAACCAGTGGCTTCAGCATCTACCAAGAGTTAAGGTGAGGATGTGGTGCATCAATTTTGAATGGCCTTTTTGGAAAGAATGGTGAACCGATTAGGTAGTCGATTTATTGCGTAATTTCTAAGAAACAGGATGTATGGTATGGTATTCCGTTTAAAATACAGTTGTTCCCGACTTATCTTCGTCAATGTGAGGAAACAGAGTCCCCACATACGTGCGAGTTGCGGTGCATTTGGTTTCTTGATCCGAGGATAACACCTGTATCAGCAACCTCATTAGGACCCTGATGGCTTTATAAGGAAGCGGTAGAAAAGTAGCCTTTGACCTACTGAATAAAATCTACTTATCACCATGGAATTAGTTTAAAAGGATTTCTTCACGGAATAGTTCTTTGAAGCAATCATTTATTAGGCTGATACCATAATAACTAAGGATTCATCTACAGAAGATCCAAACAAAGATATGCAATGAGTCATCGACGGAGACATTTTTGCGAAGTCAGAACCGAGCCCAGCTGTGAGTAGTACTTCGAAAACAACATCCTTAGCTGAACATTAGCGATGTCCAAATTCATGAAGATCGAATGACCCAGATTTTATGTGACTTGAATGCGCAAAACACATGGGTTTGCAACAATCCTGCAAACGTTTTGTGCATTGCGTTTGGACAGATTTTATGAATGTGTATTACGTGATTGCCAGTGTTGGTGCTGGCGAGGAACACTTCGAGATTGTAGTGGTGAAAAAATTACCTATATAATGAAGAAGAGATGGCATTCCGTGTGCAGTAGTCTCCGCTGTAGTAAAGACATTCCTTCCTATGGGCTAGTGTTTCTAGGGGTCAGGAAAACACTTGGTCATTGCGAACCCACTGGCGACTGCCGACAAGTCGCAGCAAAAAGACAAGTTAAATCTTATTACCATCTCTCGAAGTCAAAAACGCGTTAGTTCCATTCATTATTCAGAATATGCGGATTCCTCCATTCTTGAAGTGATGAGATACATTTGTTCATTATTCGGATATTCCATTTTAATTCAGTCATCTCTGGTTACCATAATAATGTTAGAGTAGATTATGGGTACTCACACGTGCTGAATATTGACTCAAAACGGTGTCATATTTTTGAGACAGATTTCTTGTTCTGCCTTCACCAGGAAAATCTATGGCAAGACGAGTCATCCGAAATTAACCAAAACCGTCAACTGATCAAAGGATTTTTTGTGTGTGGTGTTTTCTAAACTTTCTAAGGATAGTACAATTTATTGAATGATTGAAAAGAAAATTCGTTGAGCAGCATGTTCAATCATGAAATAAATGACACGTGATCACTGGTAAATGTCATCTTTTCTCAACGTCCAGTGATGCAATCAGCGTGCTGGAAGGATTAAGTTGTTTGGTTTCACTTGAAAGATAAAAGAGATGTTTAGATGATTGAAAGCTTGCCACTGATGTATTAGAAAGACCGATATCCATTATGCGTATACGATCCATGGAATTCAAAGGCATATAAACAAACAATGAGTGCAGATAAATTGCAATGTTTCATTTAGTCGTCGTTAGTTTGACCAACTTCATAACACGATGAACGTGGTAACACTCACAAGTTTACTGCTCTTGACGGCTTGCTTATGTGGAATATGTAAGTGCTTGTATAACATGGACAACGAAGTTTAGTCAGACTAATAGTTTTTTCGTTACCTTTTGATGCTGATGATGATTTACTCAATTCCATGATTTGCCAAATTTATGTGGACCGATTTCAAAAACAGAAAAAGTTTCCTTGAGAGAGCAATGTTGACGCTAAATTAGTCAGGTACATATAAAATCACCGTCGACTTACACCTCACTCTAAAGTTCAATTTAGTTTACAAAGTGGTTTTCTCATCTCATTTGTATATTGTTGCAAACATGGGATGAAATTGCTGAAGATTGGAAAAAGAGGAACATGAACATGACAGAGCATACGCATGATCTGATTCAAAAGGGTTTTACGTGTTGTGACATGATCAGTTCTGAAGGACGTTGGATAAATTTGAACCGAATGGGGCACGTTCACTTTCAGCTTATCAGATGTGATGAGGTTCGGGGATAGGTAATTTAATTGGTTCAAAATATACGGACATGGAAAACGTAATTGGATGTTACTGGATAGTGTCAGATTTATTTGAAGAAAATGCAGAACTTCGAGGAATTATAGAAAGTTCCTATATACTGTCAATTGAATAGATGCCCAGCAAAACGCGAGTGATAGCACCATGACCACTGGAGCTGCAGCTTCATCAGGATCCAGTGAAACTTCGTCCTCAAGTGAGTTCATTTTTTCCTTAAATCCTTGCTAGTCTCTATTTCGCCTTCTAAGTATGTGATATGATTTATGTGAAATATAACGTGGGGAAATTGTGTATGCTTGTGAATGAAACATCACAACCATATATATATATATATATATATATATATATATATATATATATATATATATATATATATATATATATATATATATATATATATATAGACGCAAGAAGTATCCTGCTTGGAATTCATCCTGTTCGGGACATCCCAATTCCATCCAGTTTGGTCTTGAAAGCTGCGTCTTTTCACTAACTTTCTTAGTTCAACTAGAATCGAGAACCACGCTCAGGGATCCTCCATCTAGCAGTTTGGCTACACACTCTAATCGAACATGCCGAATTCATCATGAGTTGGGAGGATGAATTCGCACATGATTTGCAGTCCACTCTTTGCTAGTAAGGCGAGTAGGTGCGCAGGCGTATTCTGATATTTTAAGATGTGAATACATTTTACACAGGATAGCCGATTTGCAAGGGTGTATGAAAATGAGACGGTCTAATTCGTTTCTGTTTTTTTCATTCCACGAGTCAGATGTGCTTAACAGTATTCTACTCTTACAGACAAGTGATCTGATTTGACTTGCATGGCATCTGCGAATCCAAGCTAGTCGTCTGTTTATCTTCTCATCAACATCTAACAACGAGAAACGCGCCCTAATATCACACGTTCACCAAATTTAGTTGCTACCTATGTTCGTATGTCACTGTATTTGTGTTTACGAATATGTGACAATACAGTATCTGACGAGGGCGATGTCGCTGACTAATGTCACTTTTTTTGTTCAATGCACTCGAAAGGCTAATATATTTACTGCAACAGCCGTCGAAGCACATTGAGCATAATTCCAATGGCGTCAAAACTCTCAGTGTCTGTCGTACTTCGCGGGATATACCGAGTGAGGTGTCAACTTGTTGAGAAGCAAGCCGGAATCAAATCGGTCGGGAAAGCGTTGATCAAATTTACACCTATGATAGCTACTAGAGCAACGTTAAACTATCCGGGGACCAACAACAATCATTTTTCCATAAATTCATTTAGTGGTTGACTCTTTCGACACGGATATGTCGTGGAAATGATTGTTGATAAATGGAGTATATGATAAGACAGTGTGAACGCCAGAGTGTTGTGCAGATTTATATCACTTGTGTTGTGATATTACCAAACCTGAAATAAACCGATCTCATTCCGTTTGAACTGATCTGTTATGGCAGAATGTTAGGATAGGTGAAAGACTGAAATGCAGACACGGGAAGAGCACTTCGGTTTCACATCTGCTTCGACTGCGTTGAATAAATGACAATCATGGTCACACCATCAACAGATCAACGATCATCATAGTAGAACTTGGTAGGAATGTTCGCTGGAAACAGGAGATTATCGGCTCTTAGAAGATAGAAAACGAAATACGTTGATAGGTTTCGTGCTCCAGTACACTGGGCTCGAGTTCACCCATTCGTTACGGAATTCGACCATGAAGTCCCCAAATATGTATATGAAGAAAGGACTGATGGGAGACTTCAGATAGCAAAACTAACTGATTCCACGACTTACAATTTCCTGCCAGACAGCGTGAAGGTAATGCAGCATATATTGCATATTACTGCAAGTAGGATATCCTAAAATAACAGGACCAAGGATAGCCACAAAAACCATCGGTCAAACCAAAAAAAAACCGAGTAAGACGATGTTATACAGCGTTGCATATCCAATCGCGATGATTTGCATGCAAAGTACCTAACCGCCGTTTGGCGCTTCGTGCTCGCTCAAAACACATTAGCTGAGACTGGAATAAGCGACACAATGAACAGTACACGATTTGAGATGCTGGTATCAGCAATAACTTGAGTTCATGATTCTCGCTTCGGTATAAAATCAAATGAACATCTCAACTCCATTGAGCTGAGCTGATCCGTACGTAATCGGTTTAAAGTGCACTAATCTGAATGGAACTGACCTGATATGAACTGATCTATACTTAACGTTTTAGAATAGAACCGATTTGTAGTGAACTGATATGAAAATAAATGAACGAAACTGAATGGATTTGGACTGGAATCAGCAAAACTGAGCAGGGAATAACTTGTTTCAATTGGGCTGAACTGTCCTCATCTCTGGTGATTTATCCTGAACAAATCTGATAATACTGAAATCAACATACACGTTTGTTTTGGTATGTTTTATTCCGAGATGAGAATTTGACTGACTCGTGTCTTCAAATCCGATAGATTTGTAACGGTCTCAGATCGTGCCTTGTTGTAGAGAAATTCGACAGTCGATTTCATTCCAGCAACCAAGAATACTGATTCCACACGTTTGTCGACTCGTACTGATTACCTACACATTCTCCACCATATGCAATCAAATATTCTCAGGCAGCCCAACCACACCAAGCGCGCCCACTGGTGCATCTTCACCCAGTTCCACATCGCCCACACAAAGTGAGTTCATGTTTTCTACTTTATGTATCAACTCAACTCAACTCAAATAAAACGTATTGGATTGCTATCATTATACCATATCTTTGCACAAATACAAGACAACGACTTTTCAAAGTATGTCTTGCTAATCTATTTCTTCAAATCCCAACTCATTTGGATTCATTCTGATGCGAAATGTGGAACGAAATCTGCTCGCGACAAACGCGAGTATCATTTGATCAACAGTCGGTTCATCCTCAGTCACTATTTATTACATACTTGAAAATGGATTCACATGTTGTACATGTTGATGTAATATAGAAACGAAGCTAATATTTCTTTTCGGAATTCCAATGTAGAAATAGTCAAAAATTGTTATTCTAGACTTCTTCAACAGCTCGATTTCGTTGTTTTGTACACCTCAATTTCGTTCTCTCTCGTTAGTTATGCCTCCAGTTACTTCGTTCAATTGTTCCTTTTTCAGATGTTTCAACAACTGGTCAGTTCGTCTTTAGATGTATTACTTCAGCGTTTGTTTTCTCTTTGCCTGTTGGTCTGTTTTATCCAATCATGAAGAATGTGTCATTTCTCACGAATGTTTTTCTTCTCCCCATCCTTTTTCAGGCGGTTCAATGCGCCCTTTTACTCAAATATTTTGTTTGATGTTACCATCATTCACCATCGCTGGATTATTCTGATCACTCCCTTCTATAATATAACCAGGTCTATGATGCGGATAATGTGTCTGACACTCATGCAATGCGGAAATTGATGGTAATGTTTTACAGCGGGCGAATCATTTTTTGGCAAATATAGTATCTAGTTTCTTAGTACATTTTTGCTCTTCATGATTCAATCAGCCCTGACAACATTTCGTGTAGCGTCATACATTGGTGCCACAACCATCCGGAGTTTCCTTGAATCTGTCAGTTTCTTGTTATGCGATGATCTACTGTAAAATCGTTCCGCGCTCGTTTTTAGCCCCACTACTGAGCGAGTTCTGGTCTGTCAGTGAGATTTTTCCATAGAGATATAATAACTTGAAGAGGCGGGTACAAATAAATTACTCCTTCCGTATAACTCAACTGGCCGTCTCAAAATCTTGATGTGCTATGCGGTCTTGGGATGCGAAAAATGAATTCTAGGGTAATAAGGCTAGGGTTTTTTTGTTTGAGAACCAGATAAACATAACAGTTCTCTCAACTAGTTGAATAATTATCACATCTGTTACTGTTTTATGCTGTATACCTGTAGACCTGTGACCAGTTTGTAGAATGTAGGGATTCGAAAGCGACTGTTTGAAGGTGTGATATTTACTTCGCAATTTTCAACCATATTACTGCCAATGTTCATCGGCATGATTCAAACTGGGTGATGGACTGAACTTGTGTTTTGAACTGAAATAACTCTGGATACAAGCTCAAATCTATCACATAAGATGGTGACATTCGAAACTAAATCATCGGATACTGCCCACAGAAACAATCCCGGATTCGTCTACTGGTTATCTAGCTGAAATTTGTAGCACTAATTTTTTGCACGGTAGGTCCAGTGCACGACCACTGGTGACACAACAAATCCCATTTGAATAACCGTGTGCATTGTAGCTCCAAGGTTATTGTGTGGTACAATATATATATATATATATATATATATATATATGTCTTGATTACTTCAGTCACAGAATAAGCAATAATCTGTAATTAGAATATGCACGGTAGTCATAATACAAACTTTCGAATCTCGAAAATGACAGAAGGAACATTTGTGAACAAGGACGATCAAACCTTGCAATGACTGTCTTTTTTCCGGAGGTATCCATTTGTGTGGTAAACTGACAGTCGGGCTTCGATCGGAAGAGGTTATTCCCAAGTTAAATTTTCTGGTTAAATATTTGCGGACAGTGGACTTGGAGTTTTCAATGAGACAAACTCGTTGGAGGAGGATCCGTTGATTTAGGGGGGCAATACAGCTTGTACATTTTTGATAACGGTGCTTTCTGACATCCACATAAGGACAGAAAAAAATTGAAATTTGAAATTTTATCTGTAAGTGACCAAAAACAAGATGCTCAGCATCAGCGCTACAAACGAATTCATTTCTCCTAACTGAAGCTGCTTTGACCGGGATTGTGGGTACGTGCAAGATATTGCCCACGGTTTTTCAATCAACCTCATAAGGGTTTATTCACTGTGATTTCACATAATTGCCGACTGTTTGAAGTGAACTAAGCTTACAAGTATTCGAACACAGACTCTGTTTTTAAGCACGATGTACTAAGGTAGGCAATCAAATTTCAAAGTTATAGTCTATGTCGGACACCTATCGTTACTGCAAATAGGTTGGGTGGACTATGCGACCGATATGGAAAATATCAGATCTTCGATGTAGCTCAGCCGATCACTTGTTAGAGCATGCACCGTGCTCGAGTGTGAACGGAAGCCATGAGTGGGTTCGAATCCCACAGGGCTGGACTCTTTTACCATGGGGTTTATTTTCAAAAAACGAGTTATGCGATGAAAGACAAAACAAAGGACATCCGAATGAACCATATCTTTTTTTCTATGTGTATAAAGCATTCATTTTTGCTATCTGATTTGCAACGTGTTCCTCACTGATGAAAAATGTTGACAATCTAACAAAATGTGAAACATTTTGGATATGTGGTGTAGAGGAAAAAATAGTAGCGTATCATAAATGGGGTTCTGAACTGCTTACCGTAGTATTTTATTGATTACTTGTTTAACGTGAAATCAAGAGTTCTGCCCAGGAAGGCACGGACACTTTTACTTTGTAATGGCGGAATCAGCATTCACTGACGAACACAAGGCTTTCAACATTTAGCTATTCCCACTATTTTACGAATTTTTCTTCCCATGGCGGAATTTTCCAAATGATCGGGAAGAGGTTCGATCATCATTGAGTGGAATAGTGTTCATTTGGTAGCATTTCATATCGTAGCATAAAATGAATCAGTGAAATGTCACCACAGGTTCCTCATTTCATGAGTACGCAGTGTGAACAGTGAATAAGCGCATTATTTGACAAAATACAACTCCCCCCTCTTAAGCTAGAGTTCCATTGTTATCTCATTTTCCTAAAATCCTATAATAAATTTAAAAGCTGTACTGACGTTTACCATGTTTGGACTACTTACGCTTCCTGAAACCGTGCACTGGTACACCTGAATACAAATGACTCAAACGATTGTGAAAATTTAATGCAGCGTTTATGCAGAATAGAACATGTGACCAACGTTGCTGTTCATAACTGAAAAAAACGGCAAAACACGTCATTATAAATTTCGCAAAACAGTCAGCTATCCAAATGATTTCCAATGCATGATTTTTTGGAAGCTCAGTCGCAGTAGCACAACTGAATAACCAATCACAAACAACTTTTGATGGAACCGCATGGTGATGCCTGGTTTGGAATTCCACAAAGGCGATGAATGTGAAGGTGAAACGGATAAAACTAAAGCAACCTTAGAGAAAAAAGAGTTATAACGTTACTAATTTATAAGTAACATCAGCGGTTGACGTGATTTGTTGTACATTTGGGAAGCTAAATCCAATGGCATCTTCACAGGCAGTTTTTTAGTATAGCTGACAACGCCGAAACTAATATGAATCAACGAACTTTATGGCTGAGCTGCACCATAATTGCATGACTCTTGTGGTACATAATACAGTTTGCTTGAGTGATCACCGACTGACCTGAGAAACGAGAAGCTCAGTTTGTTTCGGTTGGTAATACGTTACTCGGCAAATATCACTGGTTACTTCCATGCTCTGATTCGAACTGCTCTGATTTGTTCTGATCCCAACAAGTCTGAACTGAACTGGACTGAACCAGTTGATCTTGAACGGATATGAAGTAATCCGATATGTTGAAATGTGATTGGAAATACTGAATGAGTTATTATTATTTTACATGCACTTATGAGACCAACTTTGACAGAACTGTAAAGGGTGATATCAGAGGTATACGGCATAGTTACAATTTATTTTACTCTTAGAGTATCCCTACCTGAGGTTCTACCAAACCGAATAACAGTGTTCCGAAGATAGTGCCACGAAGTCAACTGTGTCCACATTTACGTCTGAGGCCAGCTTAACTTTAAATGAATCAAAAGCAATTACTTCTAATTTTACCTATATGTATGCCCATCAACGTACAAATCTGCTTGTATTTTTTTGTCATATACTTAAAGATAGATACATTTATGCAATATCGTTATACTGTTTCATCTCCAGCATATTCTTAGATCAAGTTTAACGACGCTCTGGAATTTCTGAATCCGTTTTGTTCGATCCCTTTCGCCATAATTATGAATGTAGAATCTGTTACCCGACTCCATTTATTTAAGTGCAACTTGAGAAGAAATCATGCAACAGAAACCGCGTTATTCATCAGACTGGAAATTGTATGAATCTCTGTCACCAAAGTAATAAAATGTGGTTATATACTGACATGAGAAAGTTGATTATGACTTTCAGCCTATCAAGACCCGAACAGGTTACCACCTCGGTTGTGGATACATCGATCAGATCTAGCTGCTAGAACATCATTATATCATCCAGATATATATATCTAGTCTGGTTTGCCGACTCTAGAACAAGCAACATATAAGTGTCCACGTGTGAAGGAATCCATGTCTAGGTCTAAAGTACTCAATTCTAAAGATTGGCCTTGAGCTTTGTTGATGGTGATTCCAAAGGCTAATCGAAGTGGGCTTTGCAATCTTTTGAAATGGATAGGCATAGCCGTTGGAATCATAGGTGTGCGAGGAATGACCGCATTTTCACCTTTGAAATGTCCTGCTAAACTTGTTGCTTCTACGACGTTGCTCATTTATTTTCTAACTGCATACCGCGTGCCGTTGCAAAGCTCTGGCGGAGTGATATTTTGCAGCGTGATAACTTCATTCCGCTTTCAAAAGCACTACTTGCGGTGGCATCCATGGCAGACTGATTGAATTCAAAAATTCTGTTGAACTGCGAATCACTTTATCTGTATCAACAACAGAATCGTTGGACTTGTACGTGACTACCTAGCTAGTAATGACTGACTGAATAATGCAATTAAGTTCGGTAAAGTCTTTGTTCAGTACCTCAAGAATATCTCGTTTATTCAACTGACCTTGATTCTTATAATTGTTCTGAATTTTGGGATATACTTTATCATTCGACATTTCTTTAGACGTCACCCAAATTCAGAAATTATGAGGCAATAAGATTCGCCTTGGGGTCAAATCAACCGGCATCCTTCCGACCCCAGTGTCCAACGTTTGACTTGAGAATATCTCAGCTTATCGGTAGTTTTACCATCCTCACGTGTCTACACAGAGAAGTGTATTTCTGATTTCGTCCGCTTGTATCGATTGAGGAATTACAGGTTATGTTGGCCTGAAATATTCTGCTAGCAATATTGTTGCGCTCTCAAATGATTTGAAGTTCCCACGCAAGTCTTGTAATGGTCAACCAAGAGCCTCGAGAGATTTCTGTGCACCATTGTACGTTCGTCCCAAATAATAAAATTGCATTTCTGCAATACCTTTCCTAAGCCGGATGGCTTGGAAATGTTGCACTTGGGAGTTTCGATAAAATATATGTTCAATGGCAGTATCAGAGCAGAATGAGCAGTTCTTCCACCTGGTATCAATGTCGCACCTATTCCAGACGACGCAGGAGGTAAA